TAATATTGCATAATTTAATAATAATAATAATTTATGCGTCATACATAATCCAGTAGATACTGCTCTGTTTACGAGGTTGTCGGTACTAGGCATTATTAATGTATTGGGTCTTTCGTCATGCCTATATGAATGGGTTTGGTAGAATTATGCTCATTAGCAAAACATAATATAAATAAATGTTTGATTCTTCTAAAACTGCATGTAAAATGCCGTCCATTTGCTTAAATACTAAGAAGTCAATGCAACATAGAGTCACGTATGTTTAGAATTTCTTTGAAAGAGCTTTTGATTTTGGGCCCGTAATTCAAAGGATGGTTTTCTTGATGCATGGCTAGAAAACCGAAACGTAAAGCAGTGACAGAAACAGTTCAGGAACAGTCGACGTGTTTCGTTTTCAAAAGCGGTAACATCATCAGGTCTGAATAATTTAAAAACTCAACTCAACATTCTGACAGTTGTGTGCCACGCAGTTGGGAATTTAAATTTTTCGTATGAAAGAACTTACTTCACCCAAGCTTTTACATTAAAAGTTGAAGAGTATTCATTGCACACAGTTTGGTGTTTTAGTGCCAAAATATAAAGGGACACTGAATAACAATCGCAATTTGGTGCTATCCCTGTCAATTTCCGAATCGTTTAGCTGACATCCTTTAGGAATGGCACGGGATGAAATCGCAAAGTATCCAGCATGAAGATGCGCACTACGGACATGTTTTTTATTCAGATGTTCAGCCGACTGTGTCTTAGCAATATATTAATTCTGTCGAAATCACTGCAATTCATCTTATAAACTACACCAAGGGGTTGTCTAAGTTTGCATGGGTGAAGTTTCTTAAAATTAAGAATCACGATGTCATCCCGTTTTGCAATAGACCCTAAATCCCATTTTTATTAAGTATTTTTTGATTTGTTCACATGCAATGAATACTCTTCATTTTATGGTATAAGTCAAAGCAGTCAGTACTCTGACGGAAAAAATGTAAATTCCCGACGAAGTGACACACAACTATCACTCAAGATTACGTAAATAATACGTTGTTACTGTGCCAGAACGTTGATTTGAATTTTAAAATTAATCAGTCCTGATGATGTTACCGATTTTGATAACTAAACGTGTCGACTGTTTGCAAAACGTTTCAATCTATGCTTTACACTTGGGTTTTCTAGCCATGCATTAAGAAAATTATCCGATGACTGTATACATTTAAGATTATTTCGATGAAATATAATATGGTTAGCTACAATGTTAAAGGCATGTTTTCACTACGTTCCCGTAGAGTTTGTAATCGACCCATTCAAAAAGTTGAAAAAAGACAGAAGTCTGAAGAATTCTGAAGAATCGTGAAGCTTCTTTATAGCTTCCATTCTTAGACTACAACAGTCTTAGTGGATTCAGCTTATCGGAATTCAAAAGCACCTATATCATTAATATAAAGGAATCCAAATGGGGTCTCCCTAATCCACTGCTCTGGCCAATATGTTTATGAAACATTTGGAATAACTGGCCTCTACTACGAAGGGCAAAGATTTGTATTCAACCCTTTTCTAAAAAAGATACGCAGATGAAATTTTTGCTCGCAGCAAAAATTTTGACGAAACACCCTTGGAACATCTGAACTATCTCTTTCCAGGCAGAGACGTCATCTTATTAGGTACGGTGAAGGAAGAGAATGTCAATTTACCGTTTCTGGATGTGCTAGCGAAACAAGAGTAGTACGGATATTCGACAAAAATATCTGCAGATAAACGGTTCAACATTTGTACTACTCTTCTTACCATGCAGAAAATGTCAAAAAGTGGTTTCAATACGTTTTTCCATAGGGGATGAAGGTTTGTCACAGAATGTCGTTTTCAGCAAGAATTAAATCAATAATTTGACTTTATGAAAGTTAATTACTGGGTGAAGGTGCCAAATGAAGATCTAGCAAACCTGAGAAGACCACCCATCTCTCTCTGCTCATATAACAGTAAAATCTACATCACTTTACCATACGTAAGCTACATTGCGCAAAAAAGCGGTCTAAAAATGCAGCTGAAGCCCGGTAGAATATTTCGCAGCCATTTCAGCCAGAAGAAAACCAAAAGACCAGAGAATCAGAAGGAAGGTAGGGTGTACAAGCATCCCTTCTCTTGTTGTTCAGTGTATATCAGCGAAACTAGCAAAATCCTGGAGAAAACAGACAGGACATAAAAGCTCGTCAGACGGAAGAACGCTTACGCCAGAGAAAATGGTCTCAAGCAAGTAGACAAGGGACGAAAACAAACGAAAGATCCCGAAGCCAAGAAAATGGAATGTGAAAAAAATTCCGCTACCAAAGAAAATGCTACGATCCATCATCAAACCGTACCTTGGGAGAAGAAAAAAGGCGCCGAGGGAAAAAAGCAAGATATTAATTATCCGTACGATCAACGAAGATCTACCCAGCTGCACAACTATATACGCGCTATCACGTGAGATGAATGCATCCAGTTTGATTCAGAAGGCCAGAACGAAACTCGACTTTTCAATGATTTCTAGTTTGACTGCTTTACGACGTTGTAATAATTTGCATTAATACCTAGAAACGGTATCAAGTTCAAAATATGCTTCTTATTTACCAAGAATCAGATCAATTTTTACTGACTGGGAATTAAGAATACAATAATCTGTTTCGCCTCTACTTTTTTTGTTAGCAACTTAAATAAAGGCGTCTGGTTCAGCATAAAGACTGTTGTTTCTGTTCGTATTAGTAACAACGATTTGGCCAAAAACGCTCTTAAATATAAAAAATAAAAAACGATGCATTACTATCTTTGCGACAAATGCAATCATGGTCGGCAGCTGGTACTCCTGCAGCTGAAACGTGGATGATATGTGACAGACGGTCGACAACGTGTCAGAATCGTCAGCCACATGAACCGGGCATATGAAGTACGGGTAATGCAGAAGTACATAGGACAGCTAAATACGCGATTAGAGGTTATAAAAAAATATTTTATATCACTTGCTCCAAAGCCAAAAATGACCGTGCACACTGCGCCGCCTAGAAAGCCTTCCCAGGTCTTCTTAGGTGAGATTTTTATCAGCGGAGTTCGACCAAAGAAAAAGCCGAATATGTAAGCTGAAATATCGTTGCAGATGATCATCGACACCGGAACGATAAGCCTAAGGACGAAAACGATAACACTATCAAACACATATGTACAAAAGAGGCGCCTTGTTCCCATGAACAGTAGCGTAAATAAATGTACTATCTCAGTAGTAACCGAAGCACAAGACTAAGTTCTAGCCATTGCAGAGAAACGGTCGATAACTATTCTGCGCAGAGCACAGTAGACGTGAGTGTGAATCTGAGGAATTTTAAGATGTCTGTAGAACGACTGCACGACTGCCTGGTATATTTTGCACATCAGTGCACAATCTTATATGAGTGAACTTGCTTGTCGAAGAGTTTAACAAACTGTTAAAAACAAATCAAAGAATGAACACATATATTAACGAGTGGAGCAGTCAATGAATGAACGAATGAATAAATCAACGAATAAACCAGCGAAAAAACGAAGAAAGAACCTTTTCATATTTCACTGCAGATATACTTACCATATGATCCCCTGAAAGGTGTTTTGAATTATCAGGTAAGACTGAGACACGATTAACAGCAACGTTACATGAGTCCATGCAAACTGAAATAAAACGTCTCTTGTTAAGACAATGTTCAGCTACTTCAAGACTTCATCGCTTACGAGTGAAAACTGTCGCATGTAGTAATGCTTCACCAAGCTCAGCACAAACCATATGAAGCCAATCACGTACAGCACGAACGAAATGAATCGATGATGAACGACGAGAAAGCGGAGAAATTGCTAAAGACAAAAAGCACGCATGACCTCAATGCTGGTGAAGGAACCGTCAACTGTAACACGTCGCTTACGTCTTTACGCAAAAGCACTTCAAAGTAATCGATCATCGACAGACCATAGAAAAAATAGTTGCTCGTAATGAGAAAGTACCATGACAACGACCGGAACCACGGTAACTTGTGGACGTGATACACCGCATAACCGATGTGTATAATTTCTTGAAAACACTTTATTTGGATGAGAAGTACCTAAACGACTGTCATCATACCACTGGTTGGCAACCAACTATACAACAGGCATCAACAACGGATGACAATAAACATGCGATAAAACGGTATTCTTACTAACGGAAAAATTGGATGCACAGTCCTCTGATAATTGCAAGGGTGTGGCGCAAAGGAGCAGCTGTGCCACTTTAGAGTGGTTCTAACTTGTCTGCTGGTAAACTTTTTGCACAGCTTCAAAATTTTTAAATAATCATTGGTGTCGACAAAAAATCAGTTACGTAAGCAGAAATGTAAAAATAAAAGCCGAAAGAGGAGCAAAGAAATCGCCTTTAACAAAAACAGGGGGTTTGGGCACCGACAGCAAATCTGCATCCAGGATTTGAGATAAAAGGTGAATTTGAAGATCGTCCAGCCAGTAATTTACATCCAACAAAGAGTTAGCAGCGAGACACCCCCCTCTGAACATGACAGAAAAGAAAAGCAACCAATAAACAGAGCACAATGTAAAGCACATTGTAAACTGTCTCAGCCCACGCAATATGGCAAAGCTTCACCCACGGGCGTCTGCAGGGGCATATTCATTTATAAGCATAATTCTGTTAAG